TTTTTTTTTTTTTGACATTTTTTTATCTGCTCGACTTAGAAAAGTACTTTATATGCTATCATTTTCAAGCGCTTGTACTACATTGCAGGTACATTATTAAAATGGCAGAATAGTATGACCCAAGTTAAATGTAAGTATTCTATATGTATACCTAAAACAAATGCCATAGTTTAACTTGTTTTGTTCATTCATTACTCCTTTTGCATGACTTCATTAGTTGGTTCAAGTTTAATGGTAACTTTTTCTCGATTGAGTTTACGAGAGAGATTGATTAAAATAATTATTTTTTTTATAAGCTATGAAGCTCTAGCTTACATGATGTTTCATGCCGGTGAAGATTTCTATAATCACCATTATGTTTTATAAAATTGATTACGGCATTTTATCCCATTTTACTTAGGATCTTACTAATAGACCCAGAGAAATACAATATTACAAAAAGGTCCTTATGATCTTTCTACTTTCCTCTTTAATATAAGCCATTCTCATGGCTCCGATATTTAGTATTTACCCCTTTTATTTTTGTAAACTGGAACTTCCTCTAGGCTTTTCAGTAATTGCCCCAAACCTGAAGGATTGTTCTGCAATCATGCATGATATCCATGCTGTTCTGTGAAACTCACCGAATTGAACGTTCAATATTCTATATTTAGCTCTTACATTGGGGAGTTTGGTTGATATTAATCATGCTGATTTCTATGTTATCATTCTTATGTACCAAACAAATTATTTTAACCTCTTATTTCATAAACCATTTATATAAACATAAAAAGTCTTGCCATCGAGTATACAATATTCATGCATGAATCCTTCCGTTTTTGTCCCTTTCATTAGTCAACTACCTCACCTTATTTTCTCTTTTACACTTGATCTCATATATTGATATTTTGTGGAAAGCATTATTGTTAGAATCGTGGAGAAAATATCACAAATTGACCAACATATGTTATTAAATTATCAATCTGCCCCATTTGATGAACTGTGCCCGCTGCTGGTACGGCTGAGATTAAAAGTTATGGGCAAGATGGGACCCACTTAAAGGTGATTTGGATTCTTCCAAATCCCATTGGCTCACTAATTACAACTCTTTATTAGTTGATAGTTCCACTAATCGATTTAAAAGGGTGAGCATAATAATAATAATATTAAAGTTTACTTTACTTAGTCATATGGTTATAATGATTTGACATGTAGGCTATAATTATAAAAGTTAGTATATGTTGGAATATCACTAGTGAATTGTCTCACAGTGATTATATAAGATAAATGATCCTAGTTTATAAGCCTAGAGGGCTACTCCTCCCATCACCAATTGGCTTGGGATAGAACCTCACTAAGGTGCATTTAGGCTCACCTTATGGTGTGTTTCATTTGGTGGGACCGCACCCTCTTCCCCCAGTTCTAATATAGTATCAGAGATGGTTTGTCCTACGACCTGCAACGATCATCTCTACCCGGCCTGCTCTGGAATTGGGCTTATCCATCTACCGGGCCTGCTATGTGGGCTTGTCCTTACGAAGGACTCACAAGTGAGAGGGCGTGAGCCTGGTTTATAAGCCTAGTGGGGTACTCCATCCATCACCAATTGATTTTGGGATGGAACCTCACTAAGGTGCACCTAGGCTCATCCTCTTATGGTGCGCTTCATCTGGTGGGACCGCACTCTCTTCCCCAGTTCAAGTAGTATAATTATTTTTTGTCTGAATATATGGAGAATGATGGATCTGTAGACTGAAATTCATTTATCCGAAAGGGTTTTGCTTCTAGCTTACAACTGTTAAATGAAACGAATCGCGTTTGAGTTTGATTTGACTCGTTTGAAAAACGAGTTGAGCTCGTGTAATGCACGTTTAGTTAACGAGCTGAGCTGAAAGTTCGAGTTTGAGCTCGAGCTCAACTCAACTAGCTAACAACTCTATAATCTAGCCATATTAGATATTTATGTATGATCAAGCTATGCACATAGAGGATTAGGAAGTACCTATGTGGAGGAAAAGTATTTATGTACGATCAAGCTAAGCACATAGAGGATTAGGAAGAACCTATGTGGAGAAAAAAATATTTATGTATGATCAAGCTAAGCACATAGAGGATTAGGAAGAACCTATGTGGAGAAAAGCAACTTTAGGACTGCTAAACAGCTGAACAATGTTGAATTTTAGTTGTTGCATCGTTAAATTAGGTATAATCGTGCAATAATAAGCTTTAATATCAGCCCGTTTGGGGTTCGATTATAGGTAATAGACTAATAGGACTAGATTATATGTTAGTGTTTCTAAGTAGCAGTTAACATCGAAGTATGGATGATTTATTGATGTGAGAAATTAGCACTACACTAACCAAATCACTTGTAAACGTGAATTAATCATCATTAACAATTAATCACAAATTGAAAGACGTGTGATTTAAAGCTTAGGCGTGTTTTCTTTAACGTGAAAAATGGATTAATTATTAAGGTATTTAACAGATCCATTTAACCGTTTTGTTGAATTGACTTTGGATTCATTTTTTCACGTGTTGCATTGTAACACTGATTATTGATACACTTTGCATTATACTACGTTTTTCAGAGCCATTGTAAAAACTAAAAATTACTGAAAAATCGAAGCTTCTAAAATAAAATTTCCAATAAAAAAGTTTGTATTGATTTTTGATTTTGGCATTTACGACGTCGTCTTCTGTGAAAGGGCACGCCATTCCGTGATACCTACAACTTCTACAAGCATTGAGGTGCGTACTGTTTTTATATGCGTGGTTGTAACTTGTAATAATCAATCCGTTGGTCTTGTATTGCGTGCCATATATGCATTGTGTTTTTTAATTATTTTTTTCTAATATGAAAATGTATGTACATCATAATATTTAAATATGCTTTCGTTTTTTAAATAATAATAATAGCCCGTGTTTGGTTATATTTTCTTCGTGTAAAATCAAAACACGGTAGACCTTTTTTAAGTTTTTATTGTACACGTGGCAGCTGTTAATGATGTTTTCTTTGCACGCGGAAAATAGTGCGCATCCTACCTATGCATATATGTAATTTTATTTTTTTTTTTCGAAATGATATATAACTAGTACGTTACCCGCGCGTTGCGCGGCCTAATATTAAAAATGGTGTGAATGAATGAAAATTTAATAAAAAAAAAAATTAAAAAAATTTATTGAGATAATGTAGAATAAATTTTTTATTAATCCATTTAAAAATACTTTCACAAATACAACATCAATAGAAAGTGAACTGTGTATCACCAATAGTAATAACAATAATTAGGCAACATGGATTGTGACTCCAGAAACAATAACAATTAACAAAAAAAAAATTATCCAATATAATTTGGATTGAAAAATTTTAAAATTAAATTTTTAAGCTTACAAAAATGTGATATACCATGAAAAAAAAATATTGGTCACATTAATGACTCTTCAAAATTTTTCATAAAAATGTATATGTTATAACATAATTTTCATAGTTCAAAAAAGAAAATA